TTGAACACTTTCATTATTTCAAATTTATTCGTTCAACAGTGAATTAAGCTAAATTATCAAATAACCCGACAGACCAATATCGCATATTTTGCGAGTTGTTGTATCCACTAAGGTAGAACCATGCCTCGTTCTTCATGAGCTAGAGGTTTGGATCGAGTAAACAACAGGCGATAGTGATGTTTCTTATTAAGCACAAATCAAGTTCTCTCAAGCTTCTGTATGAACTCATGTATGGACGAGCTGGCAGGTGAATCTTTTTTGAATTCTACTCGGAATTTTTCCTGTGCTGCTTTGATCGATCTATCTCATGCGTAATATTCCTTGACGATGAATAGTCTAGTGTTCTTCGTCAGCGGTATCTTAGTGTGCGCGCACTGGTGGTTGGCCATTCTTCAGCTGCGTTTTCTTAATAGCTTCAGGTCGTGTTACTCCTTTCCTGCGGTTTTCGCCGTTCAGGGTCAATATTTGGCATAGCTCGCTGAGGCTGAATCTTATAAGAAAGGTCCATATCGCTATGTAGCATTCGAAATGTTATCACTTGTTGCTACTTTCAATACACTAAAGCTTTTTGGTTTCTACTTTTCCATGACCGGTTCGGTTTATCTTAGGCCACCTTGTATTAAGTAAATATACACAGTAGCATGAACGATATGTTCTATGTACATGCAGTGAATCTATAAGGTTTAAAGACTAAACTCTTAAATAAAATCTGAAGCTTTAAAAGAACAGTATTACTAATGTTTAATCTTCTGCATTTGCTTTTCTGATGCTTTGTATAGGGTAGTTTTTCTCTCTTTTTCACATGCCTTCGTGATATAACTGGAAACACGTTCAACGCGTATTCGGGAGATCTGGAATTAGAATCCCGGCGAGGGCAAATGTGGATTTCTTCCAGTTTCCTGACTTTAAAAATAATTCTAGAAGACTCATGTGCATCATTTGACACATTTATGACACACTTGACACAACTTCTGAATTCATTCTTAGAAGTCTGTTCTTGAAGAATTTCTCATCTCCTTAACTCCTTATTATGGTGTTCGGTATTTTTCAAAAATTCATGAAATAAAATCTGTCGGTTTATATTTCAATTCAGAAAAGGAATTAGTTCCTAAGTGCCTAATATGGTGAGATAGGTAGTGAGGACAACTGCACTTTAGTTTACCATAAGCTGTTTAAAATCTGACAGTCGTAACAAAGGAAGTTTCCCACTGTTCAAATACTGAATAAATTCATCAGCGGCCGAGTAGATACGAACGTGTGCAGTGATAGTTCGAGCAGATTTAAGTCCTGGCAAGCACAAGCTTTATTGTTTTCCCACGCGTTTCCTTGCGAGTCAGTTTCACAGTGTTCTCTACGAACGTTCCTTTCCATTATGACTGGCACAATAGAATATGATTACTACTTCTATTCTCATCTATTTAAAGTACCACTGAGAAGAAACACGAGCTTCAGACCACTAAATCCAGATGGTGACGATTTATTGCCCCCTTATATTACCGATTTATTAGCCTTAACTTAATAGACATATTGTGAAAATCAGACACGTGGGAATATACCCAAGAAGGACATGAACACAGAATATATTTCGTTGATTAAAAAAGGTCACAAACATTCAATATAGTTTATTGCAAATCATCTGTGGTATTCTTTTGTTGACTTGTCTTGGTTAGTTTCTTTCCAGATATTTGAAGAATGTCAAAAATTTTATAACATGAGCCATCAATTTTTATCTCCTGCTTGAACACACAATCTACATGCCAGTATTCAAAATTTCAACGCGCAAAAGCTAGAAAATAAACAAAAAATTTATATTATTTTTTAAGAAGTAGATGCTTCCATTTGCAACTCAAACACACTCGTTTCATAGAGGTATCTGCGTCTGATAAAGCGAGATTGTCCTTATACTTGAAATACAACTCCGTTTAGATCCTAGAAAACTCAACTCCCGGCAGCTCTATTTTAACGAGATATTTTTGCAGCGTCGAAAAACCATAAAAAATATGTAAATATACAAGGGAAGACCGCCATTACAGCGGATAGTTCTTCTTTCCCTGAAGGTAATGCTGTTATTGGCCGAGAGTTTTTAAGGACTGAGATAGCACATTTTCCTAACAACATAAATCATTTCCGTGAAAAGTAACTGTTAAGAGTTCCGTATTTTGCACTTAACGTAAAAAGAATGTAGTTATTCGCGAAAATATATTGCAATCGATTTTAAACGCAGTAGTTTGTTTTTATAGCTGTAGACAGTTTGCTCACGTTTGATTGGTTAAAGAGATGAGAGCAGTGTTTGTAGCAAAAACATAAAAAACATAAAAAAAGAACAAACTAATAAAGTCATATATAAAGCACTCAATAGAAAAGTCTTAAAAATCAAAAATTTTAATATAAAGTCGCATGTTGCTTATTGGGTTATACTTCAATTTCAGATGCTCTTGTATTGATAAATGCGTTTCAACTAAGAAGCCATAAATGTCGAAGACTCAAAAAAGATAGCAAAACAAAACTTAACTGAAATGCATCTGAATATAAATTACCATATTAACCTATATTCAAGACGATTTTTTTCCTGCTTCACACACGCTACTGGAAACCACGACCCATTTTATATGTGCAGAGTAATATTTAAGATAATATATTTTACAGTTATTGAAGATAAATACATTTTACACTAAAACGATTTTGTTATGAAATGTAGTATTTAGACCAATTCATGCTTTTTTTTCTTGTTGTTGTTAAAGAATAGGACTTGAAATGATTTAATTATTATATTTTGTGGTAAAAAGACATAAATTATTATTATCATAAACTTTTACGCAATTAATTATCGAATACTATTTCTAACCTTTTCTATACCTGGAAAATAGAGTGCTTTCCTTTAATATATAAAATCTTGCCCTAGTAAATGAAATACTTAGGTATGATTATGGAAGAGGCGTGAACTAACGAAAGAAAAAAAAGGAGAAAACCGTGAATTCGGAAGCAGCCCTTGACAATTATTGTTCCTATGCAAAACATAAAACTTGATCTTCCACGTGGCTTTGCGCATAGCGGATTCTCAGAGTTTTGTCATTCGAGAAAGAAAAAGGTCATCAGTTTACCTTTCAGATTTGCTCAGTGTGTTATTGATTACCTAACCGAGCGGTGCTGCCATTCGCGGAACAAAAATACCTGATATGTCTTGAACCCGTCCTTGTGAATAGCTAATACTCCGAGTTGTGCTACTTTATAAAACTTGAAAGTTTTAATTTATCTTTCAAACATAATCTGTCTGTTATTGAATTATAATCTGAGGGATTAAAGCAATCAATGTACTTCTTAGCTATATAAATATTCTTTAATTTGCTTCTGAATTAAAATAATGAATTTATAATACATGCGAATGGTAATTTTTAGAATATTTATAGTTTTATTACAATTAATAAAAGATGTTTCTAAAGACATAACTAATATAAAATCGTCTAATTTAAATAATTTACAATTCTTTAATTTAAATTTTTTTAATTTGAATTTTTTTAATGGCGTTTAGCAAGTTATTTAAATATCTTCTGCAAAACGTTAGATTGCAATCTAAAATCTTTAAAAAAAAAAACCTTTTGGACCTTTAAAACTGCCGTATTCTGCTATACATATGAGGGTATTTCATTTCTGGGCGTGAACAGCTTGGCTGTTACGCACGTCAGTGGTTATCTTCAAGTAAATATTTATGATTGCACTGTAAGAACCTATCTATATTCTGAAACGGTTATGTTTATACTAATGTTTACAATAAATGTAACTTACAAATGTTTAAAATGTGCTGTCATCCTATACAAGAAGTTTTGAAATGAATCACGTAAAGTAAGCTTTCAAGTTATGGGGATGATCATGTCATTTCATAAAAATATCTGGAAAATGTTTTAGCAGTCATCTGAGAAGAAAGGCTCAGTTACTTGGTTGGCCCTCCAGCGGCTGAGCGATATGATCACTGGTAGTTCGACCCGGAGTTTGAACTCCGGTGAATGAGCTGGCTGTATGGGCGTGTTTGTGGTCTTCCTCATGCATAACGTGTATACGAGGCAGTTTTCCTTAGAAAGTCGTCTACGAAGGCATTCCTTCCCTTAGGCAGATAGCCCTCGTACACTTTGCCATAATCAAATAAATCGTAAACCAATTAGTTAATTGCTCCTTAAATTTACAAAAGCGTGTATTACGCTGACGAGCGCGGAAGGTCTAGAAATGAAGTTATCACCATTATGTGACTTAACGTTATTTTCATCTAATTCTAAAATGCCAATTTTGAGGCCCATATAAAAATACACGATTATTACGGTATTCTAAACAGTGGGAAACCGAAACCTATGCTTCTGTTAAATGTTTATTCCCTGTAAAATTGTTATAAAACCAATTTTGGTTTTTCCTTCTCATGTTTCGCACGGCAAAAACCCACGTTCTTATAAGTCTTTGAATTTTAAAGTAAAACCGAAAACTTAATTGCAAATGCGTTTTCCCACGGTTTTATTCTCTATTTATTTATTTCCGAAATTTCTGTAACCTAATAAATTTACCATTTTTCAGATCACCAACAAAAAATGTTACGTTTAAAACTGCGTCTAATCGCATTACCCACCACTTATCGTATTAAATCATTCACACGGCTTGGCAAATTGCCAGTTTATCTCGCCTTAAGATGATTTATTTTCAAGTTTGTACAAAACTTATTATTTAAGGAATCAAGTAATTCATTTAAGTATAGTACGTATTTCTTAATGAAATTCTGCATTTTTATGGCAGTTTTGTTAACACACCAATAGTTTTCTTAATAAAACATACTCATTCCTTCATGTATTCTGTACAGAATTTTATGCTTTTTGTAAAAATGAATGATTTTTCTTTGCTGTGCGTTTTAGCGGTTCTGCTATAAATTAAATCTAATATGCGTTATTTCTGTTTAATGAAATAACTTAATTTCGATATATGATATTTTCATAAAACTAATAATACTTTTCTTGTTCTTACAGGTTTTGCATGGTATTTTTCTGTTTGGTGCTAAGTGTATTTTCTACTATAGCGGAATTTGAAGAACTTGCTAGTTCTATTTTGCTTAGAATGGTATGTTGCTTTTAGTAAATTTTAACCCTTAGCTGCTTTTCAAATTTTCAAATATTATTAATTAGTTTATATATTTTATCTATTTAAAATATGTTTTAGTTATTTAGTTTTTGTATTTTATATAATAATGTAGTATACACTTTTGAAACAAATAAAAATTCTAATTTATCAAAACAGCTCTTATTATTTTTCTTTTTTTATACTTTTTAAACTAAATGGATATATTTATATTTTATTTATTAGCGCTGTATCACTCTTGAATTCAAAAACATCACGCTGTTAATGTCTAATTCATGTGCCTGAAGTTTGGTGATGAAAAACGTCGTATTAATTTTATTTTAAAAGAAATTTTTTAATTTCCTTAAACATCCATATAATCTCGTTATTCCTCCGTAGTTTTATTTCCTTAACACGTAGGAATCATCCGGTGAGTTATAAATATAATTTACATCATAATTTAAAATACTTTATAGGACTAACTACAACTTAACATTAAAATTTAGTAACTGGTAAAATTAAACATTTAATTATTGTTATTTTCAAGCAAAAGATTTTATTGTCCTTGGACAAATGAACGATAAGATCTCCCTTTCGCAGCATAAGCTTCTCATGGACTACATCAAATCAGCTCTTACTGGCAACAAATGCATGTACAATGTTACTAGCCGTGTTCCTTGCAAACATTAGTTTTAAATAATTCTAACAAGATACAAAAACTTGCATCAGGAATTTATTAAGAAAGACTAGACTGTCAACCTTCTCATACGTTCTACAATATTTCCTTCGAATGTCGAATAGCACTCGTCACACCTCTTTCACAACCGGCTGGAAACATGACCGGTAGCGTAGCAAAATCTTCTAAACTCACAAATTTCTTTTCAGCATATGCAGTTGATAACAGAGATGCATATCTATTCTTCAATATACATTAACTTGTTTGCTTTGGGAAAATGTAATAATTGGCTACCTTTATAGCTGATGTTTTAAAAATATCAAGAACACAAGTTCGAATAATATAAAAAAAATACAACTATGAATTCTTTAAAGGGAATAATGGATAGTAAAAAATTCAAAAATAGATAGTAAATTGTTAACTGCAACTTTGTGCTACAAAATATGTGCGAAATTGTTGAGGTTTTGAGTGATATTTTAGGAGAAATGTGGGAAAATTTTTTCTATCTCTTAATTTTGTTCACCAGTGTAGTTTATAGTTCCAAATTAAGTCAAACTCTAGAAATGTTTCTAGGGTCAAAAGTAAAAAATTCAAAAATACTTTTGAAAAATAAATAAATAAACAACAGTAGGGATTTCCGAAGACTCTTTTCACTTATGTTCGAATAACTATAGAAAAAAACATGATTTTTTTTTCTTTTGCGTTAGTTATAAACTGGCGGAAACTTTTTCGTTAGTTTTTAGTTATTTTTAAAAATAATGTTATTTTTTCTGGCACAAGTCATTCTGTTTACTTCATTTTACTGAGCATAACGGTTTTGTATATGCCAGTCTTTTTAAAAAGGTATTGTTTATTTTCCGCACGATATATTATCCCTAGTTTTCTAGTTCTAAAGCAGCATTCTTATTTGCTGTCAAATAATTTAATACTTTTATTTTCTCATATTTTATTTTTGCGCCTTACTTAGAAGCATATGAATTCTTCTGTTTCTTCTAGCTTCGTAAACATTTTATGGCCATAATTAGCTTTTAAAACTGAATTTGTTTTTACTTGCATAACATTGTTAATTTACTATAAGATCCTGTTTTTTTTTTTTTTTTTTTTTTTTTTTTTTTTTTTTTTTGAGTGCTCCAAATGTAATTGACTAATTATTGTCCTGAAAAAACAATTAACGAATGCTTAAAAACCCCTAATAGAAATAAGTCACTCCTAATAAGGCATCTAGTAGTAATTTATGTTTCGAAACCGTATGTGTCAAGCGGTGATCAGATGATCATTGCAATAAAACTTCAAATAATCGGGCGGCAAATATCCGAATTTCATCATCCGAATAGCATTTCTTCTTTCAAAACGAGGTAAATTTTAAGTTTATTCTTTATGTATTTATGAATTTTTAATTTTTTTGTTAATTTAGGAAACAACGTAAACATAGTAATATTCAGAACACGTTTTTACATGACGCTGTTAAATCGATTTAGATGAATTTCGGTTTACAATATTCAGTAAATGTAGCTTATAAATTTTAACAAGAAAACAAATATGCACTGTATGTAAATTTACATTTCTTTGTTTATATTGTGATTAATTGCTTAGCTTTACCAAGTGCTCCTTTGTTAAAAATTAAGTTGAAAAAAAAACATGGTGGCATTATATTAATTCTTTCTTCGCGGAAGGAATTTTTGTTGCACAGAGCATTACAATCCGTATAGCAATAGGGATATCACAACATCGTATCGCAAAAGCAGTTTTGGAGACATGTTATCTTATATTACAGTAAATGATTTTTAAAAAGCTGTATATTTAATTTTAGAACTTATATAAATAAAATTTAATCTCATTTACTCATTTTAGTTTAAATATAAACAGGTTATATGCTTAGTCAAATAAAAAAATTATTTGATTTTTGTCTAAAATATCGCTTTATTCAGTATGGTGGGTAGTACAGCTAATTGCTTTACCGTGAATCCGAATTCGAATCCAGATAAATCATGCACGTTTATACTTTTTTACCTCTCTTTTTGCGTGTGTCGCCCCATATAGTACCCTAGAAACGCTTTGCGTGAAATGCTAATGGATTGGTTCATTCTAGACGAATGCAAGCAATTGTCCAGCCATTGAATTAAAAAACACTTTTTCCCATCCTGAAAAAAAGTGGTTTTAATTTTTTTATGAAAGTAAAATGCATAATCGTGACTATGTACAACGCGATGAATGGAAAATATTTTCTTTTTACAATATTGTGAAAACATATTTGACCTGCAGGGTAAAAAATAGACAATTAAGTTATCTGGTATTTCCATTATGCGGATGGCGTGAACTATAGTCCCATAAGTTTGGATATTTGGAGATCTACTACACGAGCAATACAAAACTACCAAGAATGCATAGCAAGTTTAGATTCCAAGTCAAGAGATGCATAAATTTTAACTTAAGCTTTCATTTGACTCTTAATATGATTAATGAAACAAAAACGTTAATACTTCTGGCATGAATTGAATAAATGAAGTAAAATGGCGAAGCAAGCTAAAAGTGTAAATGAAACAGCGACTTAGAAACGTTAGAAAATTTCACTGCAATTATTTACGCTAAAAGTGTAACTCGAAGAAAATTGCAAATACATTCATCATTATTTTGTTCAAAATGTCTTTCATAAATCTTTGAAAACCGCATTCACAACCATGCCATAAAACAGACTCCAGTGATTCTTCTCCGAAATATTTAACTTTCTGTAAACGATATTTTAATGACATTGCATTTAAAATAATTTTGTATCTGATTTTCATTTATCTTTCTGCAAATTATTCTAGCTCTGCGTTATCTGATTCTTAACTCAATCATAAATTGAATTATCTGTTATTTTATCTTGCTTTCCGATTCTTATTATTTTTCCTTCATTCAAATGTAATTAAATCTTTGCTTCGACTAATTTTGTCCCAATGCTATTGATTTGAATTTCGTTGAAATTGCAAAAGATTGTTACCAAATTGTTAAAAGAAAACTTTACTCTGAACTTTAATTTTACATTCAAGGTAAATTAACTGTATTGGCTAAGCTAGGTTATTGCGTTATAAATTTGACAATGTTTATTTCAAAGTACAGTTTACAGAATTTGGTTTTTAATTTATAAGGTATTTCTTCCGCCTTCTTGGCATGCCTTCGTGGTGTAATGGTCAGCACACTTGGCGCGTATTCGAGGTTCGAGTCTCGGCGAGGACATTGCTCATTTTTCATGTCTCCTGCTTTTATGGCATTTTCAGATTCATTGATACTTGTGATGCTATTATTCATAAAATATTCTTATCTAGAATGCGGGTGAAGTTATTCCAGTTAATTTTTGCTATGTAACGATAGTAATCCATGGTGAAGTCCATATAATCCGAATAGAATATATAGTAGGCGGAGTCCTAACCCTGTAGTGCCATTAACTTAGTTTGGCGGAACAGGTTTAAGTAAAGTGACCATATATATCTTCTGCTTCGAAATGTCCTAATGTCTCTACAAATTCATATTAAGAATCTTTATTAAATTTTGAAATGGCTCCATACAAATCCGCTTGGAAATTTAATCTTCACTCCTCTATTCGCTTCCTAAACCATATAGTACTATCATATTGATATAGTTTTATGGAATAAAAGCATTAGACTCAAATATCATAATTTAACAAACAAGTATTTCAAAATTTTTAATAAAATGACTTCATTAATGACATTTTTTATAAATTTCTGAAATGAATGAACTGAAAATTACAGTAATATTTACAGCAGAATATTTAAAATATCGTTTTCGAAATAAAAATATTGTGTTAAATTTATCTCCAGAAATAATGGAGGCTTGTTTAATTTAAATAAACTATAAAAGCAATTTCAGTATTAAATGACTGAATAAATTATCTAAGGGAAAACGTAATATCAGAACATTATAACGTATTTTCTTCCTTTCTGCATGTCTTCGAGCTGCAACTGGAAGCATATTCGACGCGTATTCGAGAGGTTCAGGGTTCGAGTCCCAGCATTTTTATTGCACATTTTTCATTTCTCCCGATTAAAAAAAAACCTAATGACTCCACAACATGTTTAAGTTAATATATTTTCATTAATATTTCTTATATTGTAGAGAACTGCTTTGGAATTACTTATTGTATTGCAAGTTCTGAAAATAATGACATTTATTCGGAGAGGTAAAATGTTATTTGATATTTCAGAATATATCGTATACTCACTGTTTAACCCATATAATTATATTTTTCTCTTCGTAACATTAATCAGATGAGTACTTTCTTAAACCCATTAAAAAACTCAGTCTATTAAGTAAAATAGAAAAAAAACGTTTTTTGTACAGTAGTCAGAACAGTTCTAGGAAAAGCATTCTTCTTTTTTCTTCTACTCTTGATAAATGAGGAGTTTCCTCCTTTTTTTCTGTTTTTTCAATTCTTGAGAGACCAAAATAGAAAGGCTCAGCAAAGGAGTGAGAGTTGAATATTTATTCTTTTGGGAGGAAAAACTAGAAAAATAAATAATAATAAACATCACGTGTGAGCGACAGTTCTTTATTCAGTGATTCCCATGAAGACAGGATTTGCTCTTCTGGAAAAAGAGAATTTGCCGCTTTCAGCAAGTGGAAAAAAGGGAGCACTGTGATGATCCGCTGAAAAGAAGAGAAGAAATGCTTGCTTATTTTTTATGTGAGAAGATTTTTTTCTAAGATTAGTACATTCGAAATCGTAATACGTTGCGAAATTAAAACCAGTTAACAATTGAAATAAAAAATAGGCTTGAATATTATTTGCATTTGCAGTACTTTATTAATATATTGATACTTTGTAGAGACATTGGTGTTATTTTTTTAAGCAGGAGAAGTGAAAAAGTAAACAATGTTCTCGCCGAGACTCGAACCTGAACCTCTAGAATACGCGCCTAGTGTGCTTACCGTTACACCACGAAGGCATGCTAGAAAAGAGGGAGAAAATATCTTCTGTGCTCCCCCTTTTAAAGGGCGACTGAGGATTAGGGGACCCATTTGCCAAATCCTGGTGGCAAATAATCATTATTCACCATTCAGCTCATGCGCCACTGTAGAATAATTAAGTTATTTTTTTAAACAAGAGAAATGAAAAGTGAGCAATGTCCTCGCCAGGACATGAACCTGGACCTCTCAAATGCGCGCCGAGTGTGTTTACCGTTACACCACGAAGGCATGCTAGAAAGGAGGGAGAAAATACCTTATAACTTTATTAATATAATAGTATTTTAACATTTGTACTTATTTAAAGTACTGATTGAGATTACATATTAAATGCTTTTTTTTTCTTTAACCATGTTTGTGTGAAAGCGATCTATTTTGTGAGTTGTTTACATTCGATGACATATGGCAGGTAAATCTTGTACGTTAGTGTGTTTGAGGATATTGATTGATAGCAAATGAAAGATGTTATACAACTTAGAAATAAGCCATTTCCTACTGTATCATTTCGTTCAGAATTATATTCCATAATTTTTCTAATTTTATATTAACTGCGGTACAATCACTTTAATTCAATCAAGCATTCCCACTTTACTTTAAGGGAATTAACGTGTAAAGCCAATAACTACTACTTCTGAAATGAAAGGGCAAAATATTCTTTTGGACTCTGTATATGCAGTGTTTCTTTGCCTTTAAATTTGGGATAGTGCGTTGTTGAGGCGCAGAAGTATTACCTACGTGAACAAAGGTGACGATGTGCTACCGATAAATAAGCATTTAGCAGCCTCTTTACCGGCGTATTGAATATTTGTAACTTTTCCCCGTATAGGAAGCAAGGTCGGCGAAACTTTTCGGACACAAAGTCTTAACATGTTCTATGATTGTCACATGCACATAAACGACAAAATTTTAAGCAAAAGAAAGGCAATAATTACGTGGGTATCTCTTTTGCTATGGAAGTATTTGAAGGAAATGGCAGGAAATTATCACTGAAAAGAAGCAATTGGTTGAATAAGCTAATTTATTTAAGCCAGTATTGCTTGCTATAAATAATGTATCCTATCATTTACTGTTTCTTGAAGAGATTTCCCTTCGGCTCGTTTGCTCTTTTCTAATTCGGCAATACACTTTTGTTTCATACTGAAAGTTTTAGTATGCTGATAATGAGTTTTAGTGCGTTTCTGCAACTTCCTTTATACGCCGATATTGTTAATTTAGTATAGAATGAGGCTGAAAAATCTTCGCATTCAAAACTGGCATAATCCAGCTAAACTCATCAATATTTTGGCTGGCGTTTTAAAGAGAACATTTTGACTGATATCTTTCAGTTACACTGTACGGGTCTTTTAAATCTATGCTTTATATTATGTTTTCGTGTTTTTAGTATTTATAGCGATTAAGTGTATAAAACGTCTTGCGAGAAGTGTAATTTAAGTATTAAGTTCAGCTTTGTCAGTTGTTGTCTATCTTAGCAGGGTTGAAGAACTTAAATCAAATACAGAGAGGAACCCTACTCACTTAACATAATTTAACATGATATTATTTTTATTTTCTTTTAAATTAACATTATTTTTATTGATTTACGTATTCTACGTGCTATTTGAATCCAAATATCAGTATCAGAAAATATTTAAATTACCAATTAAAATCAGACACATCTTTTTGAAAATAAACGATACATGTTTTCAAAAAAAAAAAGAAGTGGATTTACTCATTTAAAAATTCCGCCACGAATGAGGTCGGAAATGTCAATTTTTTTGACAGTTTAAACGTTAGATTACTGTTTCTCGTCATTTCAGAACACAGCGTAGAATTTATTATAGTTGTGCTGTTTTAGTGACCCACGTTATCAAGCCTCAAATATGTTAAGAGGACGAGTAACTGAAACATCTTAAAGGTATGGAAATATTGTATGAACAACCCAGCCATTTCCTTGCTGATTTCTTCGCTAGGTATACCTGAAAATTTAAATCTTCGCTAAATCCCCGTACAATTCCTCAGGTGATATACAAATTCAGTGAAACTTTGCTGCAATTCCTGTGAATATACGAGGAAAAACGTAATGAGGAGTACTACATACCGAACCCTTACAACGAAATGATAATCAAAACGGTTTTATTTCCAAGGTACGAGTTAATTATATTATTCGTATACTTTGTAGAGACATTAGGTATTTTTTGAAAGCAGGGAACATAAAAAATGAGCAATCGCCTTCGCCGGGAATCGAACCACGCACCTCTGGAATACCGGACCAGCGTGCAGAACCACTACACCACGAAGGCACGCTAGGAAAGCGGGAGAAATACCTTATACTTTTTGTTCGTATTTGTTAAAAGTAATTTGGATTCATTGTTAACGGCAACTAATAAACTGAAGAATTACTTGTGGCTACAAATAAATAAATTTTGCAGCGCAGTTTGAAAGTACATGTAGTCTTTATTTTATTTTGCTGTTGGGTAGTAATAGAGAGGAGACTGAAATTCTTACTTTATGATGAAGGAACTATAAGAGTTGTCCCCATATATTATACTATTATGGCAACTTAGCTGTTAAATTTGGAAGTGTCTGGGTTGTTGTAACTACCACATCTAGCTCTATGGATTCTAATTTTTAGGTTCCACTGCTTTCCTGTCCCGAGTTATCGAGATGCAGATGATTCCTTTATGCAGACAAAACCCCAGTAGCATTTAACTTAAACTTTAATGAGTCTCCACTTGAGAATTACCAGAAACATATAGATAATAGTCCACTTGGCTATGATAAGAATTCATGCTTCAGCTTTACTCTAAGAAGAACCACAATTATGATTTTAACGTGCTAAAATTCTTCAGGGTTAGCTTATAGATTTGGACAGGACTTCTCCAGAATCATCTGCTTCAGCCAGAATTAAACATCAGTAATAAGCAGCTGTTTCTTTCGAAAGGTTCCATCCATCAGCTTGCTTCATCATACCTAGGCCCAGACTTTGCTGACGTTCTTCAAATAGCATCCAATTTATTAGCATCCAGCTTCAGACAGGCTCCGATATCAGACAACTGCATGCAACAAGCAACGTTTCGGTTTCAATTAACTTACTTATACCCTACGCTCATCTCAAAAATCTACATAACCATCTGAAAGGAGCGAGCTACGCGACTAAGTGGAAAGATATGTCACAATATATCTTAGCCTAATAATCAGCTTGTGTGGGTTAAGCAGGAAATCGTGATTCAAGGAGTTTGTTCACCTACATCATTATGAGCCAGTCGTGTAGGTCTCATTATAATACTTAATGATTTTAGGTTGACCACTTCGTGCCTACGTAGCATTTTGGATATCTCTTATCCGAGTCTAAGAAAGACTGTATTTGAAGGTACACTAAATTTATGTACAAAATTCGTTTCCTATTTAAGAATAAATGCATAATTGTTATTATTTGAAAGACAGTTAATTTAAGTTATACAAAATAAAGTTATACAAAATAAAAGTTATACAAAATAAAAGTTATACAAAATAAAAGTTATACAAAATAAAAAAATGTTTAACAGAGATATAAAATTTAAAATATAAACATCAGATTCTTCTTTACTCTTCTAGTTTCATTGCCGCGTTGCATATTCTGCTGATAAGAAAATTTACTTACTTTTCTTCCCACCATGCATTCGTGTAAATGTGATGAGATATGCTAATTTGTGCTAGAAAGAATCACATTCCTTTGCTTATGAATAACAATTGGTTTATACTGCAAAAGCGATTCCTGATATTAACAGTTAAATTCAAATTGTAATTTTCCTGGTCTTATTTTTCTTCTCGTAGGAGATAGTGATGGTGGTCTGGTTCACATTCGAATTCTTCCTCCGTCTGTGGTCGGCAGGCTGCAGATCCAGGTACCAGGGATGGTTGGGCCGTCTCAGGTTCCTCAGGAGTCCATTCTGTGTTATAGGTGAGTGAGAAACTTTCCTATGCACATATTCCTAACTATTTTCTGATTATCATAGGACATAAAAGATTACAGTAGATTAGAACTCTTGCTAGAGGAAAAAAACTGAAGACTACTATAATTCTAAATTTTTTATGCACTCTGTAGAAAAAATCTTAACAAAGGTCTGTTTTAAATTATCTCGTTGAAGTGTGCAAAAGTTTCCTGTTGAGTACCATATAATTCAACCTGAATTAATCAGTCTGGTACATGTGAATAAGCGTGTTAAATACAGTCGATATCTTTGATTAGAACAAATTTGGAAACGAAAGATTTCTTGGATGGAAGCAATGTCTCAAAATATGAATAAGTAAGCCGGAAACAAACGATATTCCAAAATGTAGTTGATGCTAATGCTATAAAGAGTTTGTACCACTGCGGTGCAAACTTCTGATTAGCTGCTAATGCTACTACAAAAATTCTCTCAGCAAACCTTACGCTACTATCTAGAACGAATGCTTTACTTATAAATTTGAACTTGAACCAGATTACTGGAGGACTAATGATTACTTCTAGGAACTAATTTCCTTTTTCGCTAAGGTTCAGGAGTACAACTTGACTTTGCCACAGACTGACTGCACTATTGATTCACTTGTTACACCCCCGGGCGAGATGCAGTAGCCCCCTAATGATTTTAAAACCGTGAATGGCCTTTTAGGCGAATCCAGAGTGAACAGGTTAAAACTCACAATAGTTGCACACCTGAGGTGACCAAGACATAACGCATAACAGTTTGGGGTGTCATCAGTAATGAAAACAGGTCACCACTGTTACGTATCAGAGGCACATTGACGGCACGACAGTATGTTGATGAGGTTCTGCAGCCGGTTATGCTACTTTACCTCAAGTTGCTACAAAACAGTATTTTCTAGCTAAACACTGCGACACCGCACACGGCATGCAGTAGCGAACAAGCTTTCAGCATCTCCCACTGTTTCCTTAGCCTGCGGTGTCCTCTGATCTTTCGCCGATCCAGAATATCTGGGACGTAGCTGACCGTCGTTTCACGAGCGCTGTGTTTTCAGCAATAGTAATCAGATTGACTCTATATCCAGACCCTTAACCGGTGACAGTCATCAGACGAACATAACCGAGACTAGTAGCTGAATACCACATTGTGCCATTCAGCAAGATGCCCATAGTAATCGATTGTGGGACCGCCACCAATTCTCATCTTAGCGGTCTGTGTTCGTGTAGATCAGGGGTTTCCAACCTTAAGCCCATGGCGCCTAAATGTACGTCTACATTTCTTACAAAATTCTTCATTATATTATTCAAATTCTATTCGCAGCGGATGCATCTACGTGCGTTTTATCGCCGATACGACAGTAAGAGTAACCAGCCATAAGTAAGCCTACGGTTTGACCAGCCATAAATAAGCCTACGGTCTCGTAAAATCGTTCGTTTGCCGGAACTGCTTATGGTGCCGTCGTCGAGGCTTCTGTTCATTTGCGCGTCATCTGGAGCGTTGAACTTCTCGAAGTTCTGCATTCTGTAATCAGCTGCTTATGGTGCCGTCGTCCAGGCTTCTGTTCATTCGCGCGTGTCTTCTGGGGCGTTGAACTTCTCGAAGTTCTGCATTCTTAATCAGCAGAACCCACCGGCGGCCGAATGCTAAAATCGATGAACACTGGTAATTCCGACCTGGGTTATATTCCAGGAAACTGGCTGGCTGCATGGGCGTTTTCGTGTTTTTCCCTATGTATAACGAGTATACAAGCTACTTTTCCTTAGAAATTCCTCCAAGGTAAGGCATCCTTTCCCTTAGGCAGATAGCCCTAGTATGCTTTGACATAATCTACCAAACCAAACCCTAAGCAGCAGAGAGTAGTGTTCGCCGTTTCCTTCCCTTTTATCTCGCACAATAATCACGTGATCAAATTGCATCTTTTAAAATTTGCATGACTTGTTCCACTACGTATTCCTCGAAATTTGCACATTTATGCGGCGAATCTTCACGGTGTTGCATTTTCAATTTTGGGCAGTATATTATGCATGTGTTACGTTTAATGAATTCTGTTGGTTTTGCATTACGAATTTAAATGCAACGTATTCACCAATAGGCAATCAATTAGAATCCGGCAACGGATTCTTTTTACATTAATTTGTATGGGGCAAATTTTTTTGGTTGATGAATATTTTAAGCTACGATTTATCTTGAAAATCTAATTTAGTTCGTGAGCTAAGGTTTCATTTTACTTGAAATTATGTTCGAAGAATTGAAATGTAAAGTAGGCATCTAACTCATCATTCGAGCTGAGGTGAGAATTTTAAAAATTCTTCATCAAAAACAGTATTTTAAATTTAAATGGGAATTTCCTTGTTAAAGGAGCCACCGCGTACATTTTTAGAACATTTGAAATTTGCATTTCACAAATTGCGCGATTAAATTTGCCTAGTTTGACTTCACGATGGCTACTTTAACAAGAAAGAACCATAAAATAATTATTACAAACATAGTGATTGGAAATTCTTTTTACAAACCTTAATGAGAGGTACTGACCAGTAAAACAAACTTTTCTTATCAGTGAATTCATGCTCGATTTTATGTTACAAGTTTTTCAGGAGCATTATTTTTGCATCCAGAAAGGTAAACAACATTTTTATTTTTAGTAGTTTAACAGTAGTTTCATGTAAAATGAAATGCTTCCTCTTCATTCAGATGGTTGCCATTGAGAATGGGCAAATTCTCATTTTGTAATTTGAGATTGTATCTTTTAAGGAATCTTTCACATTACGCTTGAATAGCAACTCCTTCCTTTTCATTAATCGCCCCCATACATTAATGCTTTTCAGTCACTAAGTCCCTGTTGTTTCCTCACTCAGTTTTTAGTGCAATCTCGGAAAATAACACCATACCTCCTAGGTGCGTGTCTTTCCAATTCGGTCTTTCCTTTTCTACTTCTTTTTGCATTCTTTCTTCTTTTTTATAATTAAATTTTCTTTTCTTGAAGTATTTAAAAAGTAAAAATAAATAGTTCTTTCTTTATTAAACATGATTTTGAGTCTAGAGAAAAACAATACGCAACTAAAGTATTCAAAATATTTTATTTTGATTTTATTGTACAAATTATAAATATATTCATCAGAAGGGTTCAGTCTTCTAGAGCAAACCATTTCGTATTTCTGATAGGCAAATCAGCGACTGAGCGGTAAAATCTCTAACCACAGATAGTTTGACCTGGATTCGATTTCTTGCCAACGGACTAACTGCATGGGCATTTTCGTGGTTTTCCCCATGTGTAACGGGAATACGAGCTAGCTCCCCTTAGAAAGTCCTTCACGAACCATCCCTCTCCTTAGGGAAATAGCTCTCGAGGCCTTTGCCGTAATCATATAAACCAAACCAACTGTACTTCTGACTGAACTTCTGACTCGCATGGCACAGAAATGATCGAAATGTCCCATAAAAATATTCCGCAGGAGATATAAAAAATTTCATAATTATCAGCGAATAAAATGTAAACTCTATTGTTATTACCTTTTATAAAACCGTTTTAGCTTTTTAACTCGAAGGATATTTATTAAGCGAAAATGTGAGATTATCTTTTATAAAGTGAACATCCAGCTCGATTTATAAATTTAAATGTACTTCAATATCTCATTTGATGGGCGGGGCAGCAACTGCGAATGCCATTTTCAATACATTCATCTGAAATTTAGCAACATCGGTTTGATGTTTGTCTGTCATTTTACTTCATTTTCCATACAATGAACACGGAAAAAAGTTACTGTCCAATATACATACTTCCAAAAAGGTATGTCAAGAGTGCAATTTGAGAAGAGAGCTTGTTGATGACGCCCTGAATACTTTTCTTCAAGTAGAGTAAAGCTTATAAAAAAAGGTTTTAAATAAACTTTCTTTACATTATCTATCTATCTAATCGTTATTCTATTAGTAAGTTCACAGATTTTATTCATGACGATTAAAACAAAGATGGCAAATAAAATGAAATATAATTAGAATTTTTGATATGTTGGAACTGTTTGTTGTAATTGTTTCATAAAATGATAGTCAATGTCGTCTATTTTTCTCAGTTTACATTGATTATTATTTTTATCCTGACGGGATGTAAGTGCGAATAAAGTTGTGGTTTGAAACTCCCGGAATTAATTTCAATTCAATTTTAAATATTCCCTTGCTTTGAAACATGATTTTATGGGTCATCCCACAAATCCAGTTTTTTAATATTTCTTTTATGTGTCAAAATTAAGATGAACAAAATTCTTTTTAATACAAAATATACTCTTCTTTCTTCCCTGCTAGTTTTTGATAGTGACAAAAAGATTGTATTCCCCCTCCAGAGTTTTCAGAACTTTCTTGTTGAGCTCTGCAGATCTTTCAGCAAGAGGCTCTGCTTCTAGATTGTAGTTTCCGGATCGAAGTTTCTGGAACCAAAGTTGACACTGGCTTATAACTTACTTGTCCGGTCATTATTTACTGCATTAATATTCCTGGTAATAATTATTTAATTAAAATCTTAAAGCAGAATATTCCACATATGCACCTTAGCTGTTAAAATTGAACTGCAGTCTTCAAACCTTGCACTAGAAATAAGAACAAGGTAGAGTCGCTCTTTGTTTCTACAGCAAGCTGATACAGGTAGTTTCTTCCGTGCCTCTCTGAATTTCAATTGAAAAATAACCGCATTATTTATTCGGAAGGCCCAGTAGTAATTTCTCTTTGCTTTCAGTTTTCCGTTATACGACGCAGCCTTATTGCTGTACAAAGTGTACAAAAAAAGTAAAGAAAGGAAAAATGTAAGACAGTTCTATATCTCCTGTTCTACTCTACCGATTGAAGAAATTTAACTTGCCTTTTTCATGTCTCTAAAGCGAGAATTAGGATATATATTAGATTTATATACAGCAATGTTGAAACTATTTCTTCTAAAATATGTATTTTGAGAAGAAATCGAAACTTTTCTGAGATGACATATCAATTTTTTTCCATATATCGATTC